AGGGTTCAGGGGATCTCGTAGTCGAGCAATCTCGACTAGAGCTTTCTTACTTGTTACATTTGATCTACTGTTTGGAGCTCCAAAGCTTTGGCATATACTTGATTATCCACTTTATCACGCACTAAAATTATGAGAGTAACTTAGTAGCATTATGTGTATACTCTGTTGATTTTCTAAACGTGTCAAATTATATAGATTTTATTAAGCATCCCATATCTATGTATTTCAGAGTTTATTATACGAATTGCATAGCAATTCGACCTTGCACGAACTTGATAAGAGAAAACCTTATTGTGCACAGGACAACCCCTTTTGGTGTCTAACGAGAATGGATACATGTACATATATACATATGTATATGTATATCAAAAAACTCAGGTTAGTATACATTTGACTCTTAAATTTTAATAAACATTAGTTGTCTTTTGTCTTTTAAGGTTTTAAGAATAAAAGAATTGAATATCTGTAAATGCTAAAATGATGTTTACATACATACATACAAACTTTACTTTGGGATAAATCAAATATTGAGGAATAGTATGGAGAGTCGAGGAATCAACTAAAATAATTGTATGCTAACTGAAAGAAAACACAACAATAAATACAATATCTAATACAGGCTATAAACTTCCAATACAGAAAACTTTAAGAGCTATAAACCTATGAAGGGTTTCTGCAACAAGATTTCCACAAACGCAAATTCGTTTATAGCTAATTGAGTTTAATTCAAATTGAGAGCTAATAAGTTAAGCAACTCACATCTGTGTCTAATTGACGCCATTACGAATAATGCTTGTTGAACTGTGTGCGTGATTAAGCACTCAAACTGCTATTATAGAAATTTAAGCATAATTTATGTCACCCATGCGCTGTCTCGTGTAACTTCAAGTTGTTCGATTGGTATTTTGTGAAACATACTTTCAGGCATCCGCTTAAAATGCAAGCAGCAATTAGAACTATTGAGAAAGAAAAGAAAATATGTAATTGCTATAATATGTACACCGAGTTCTCAATTGATTTATGTGAAATTTGTGTAAGGGATTCGCATTGTGTGTGGCATATTCAAATTGTGTGATATGCAATCGTGCTGGACGAACTCTCTCACTTGCCTTTACGTGCGATTATTATTATTATGCCGAAGTTATTTGGTTACCAATGGGGTACGACAACAGCAGCAACAGCAGCAGCAGCAGCTACGGCAAATACTAATATTTGCATAATCGCTGGTAGAGCAACGGCAGAGCAATTATTTCTTTAAAAATAAATTGCATGCACAATTGGTAGCAATAGTAAAAAGCCATGGCCAGGAGTGGACCACCACAGTGAATGCTACGGCTCAGACTCCCAGCTCCGAGTCGGGCCTCGTTGTAGTAGCCAGAAACAGTTGCCGTCTTCAGGTACACAGAACCAGCGACGAATTTGGTCAAAACGGCTTTGGCTGCCGCTCTCCGCCGGCCGAAGGTTTTTTGTTTTCTGTTTTTTATTCTGTTTCGTTTCGTACAGAAAGGGGGGCGTGGCAGCTGAGCAGCAACTGGAGTTCAGTTGAGCACAGCTCGTTCTGCGATTTGTGTGTACGCCTCATTCGTTTATTTGCATATCGATTTGGAGTTTTTAGACTGGCAGAACACGCTGGCTGCTTGGCTTTGCTCGGTTTGGTTTGGTTTGGTTTTTGGGTTCTCTTCTTTTTTTGCGACTCACTGTGCTGTCTTCCTGCTAGCCAAAAGTATTTGCATCCAGCAACGTATACACTTGGCTTCATTTTATTTGCAGCACAAACAATTGCATAATTGCTATGCGGCCATAGAATTTGAATTTATTGGCCAAGCATTTGGCCTATGGGGCCCGGACTACAAAGCAAACAGTTAACCGAACGCAAATCTATAGCTCATAAATTTTCATTCGCAACAATTTCACACCGAGCAGATTTGTGCGACAATTAAATTCAATTATGATCATCATTTTTGGCCTTCTCCTTTCATATTGTCTATTCCTTTCGTTCGTTCCTCCGTTCTTCCGTTTTCGTAGCACACTTATCGTCGCATCGCCTCATCAGAGATGAAAACCCAGTCAATGGTGACAAAATGCTTGAACTGCTGCTGATATGCTCGATAAGCACGTGCCATTAGCTTCTAAGAGGCTGATAGCGCTGCTTGCCCAGCCCAGCAACGTTGAGCTGGGGGCTACGTGGGGCTGGTGGCTGGGGTCAGAGGTGGTCTGGCACTTTGAACAATTTTAATTTGCCGCTCGAACGGGACTTGTCCCAAAGTTTTTATTTCAGCCCAGTCACGTAACCATAACTCGACAGTTGCCTCGGCTGACCCCTTTGTTGTTGCAAGAAAATTGAAAAGTTTCTGTGGCCAAGTGCCTAGAACATTTTCCGCAGCTCAAGCGGTTCGCTTAGGCATTAACGGACGATTCAGCTGTATTTATAGCAAATGACTCGAATCGGTTTCTAATTGAATAGTGAAATACATGAAATATGGATAAGTTGCTCAAGTTTACATTCAAATTCGAGCGAAGAGTTTAAATTAACTCAAGTACATCTGGCATATTTTTATCTGTTCTAAAAATTAAAAAAAAAAAAAAAAAAAACAAATCCTAAAATTATATTAAAATCAAATATATATGTTTCTAAATATATAAAACAATATTATAACATATATATATATTTGTATAAAAATACTAATTACGCTAACACAAAAATTGAATAAAATATATGAGGAAAAACTATAACAGTTTAAAATAGTAAAAACGTATTCTAAATAAATATATTTATGTAAAATGAAATAAGAAAATACAAAAATATAAATATTTAAAAAATTACTGCTAAAAATATATATACTTTTTATTTAGTTTATATAATTATATATTTGTGGAATAAATTAATTAAAAATTAGAGAAAAAGATAATCTGATACATATGCATATTTAATTTTTTAAGATAATTATTTAATATTCTTCCCTTTTATATTTTTTTTTTTCGACTACATATATTTTCTTAAATTTTTCCAGCATAATATTTTACAATTTAAGCGCACATCATTTCCTACATGTCACATATTTACGTTTACACAAATTCATCCTTTACGGGGTATCTGATAGCACAGTGTACACAAATAATCAGCCTTGTGCAAACATTTTCCAACTCAGCCTCGGGAAATAATTAAAATTTTGCAAAATGCTTCTGTTTTCCAATTCGGTTTTTTTTATGCTTTTTTTTTTTTTTTTTTTTTTTTTTGTTCATCTGTGACTTGAAAATGCTCGTACATTGCCCTGACATCTGGCGAGTCCTATAAGTCACTCATTATGTCCGCATTGGGTCTCGGTTTATCATGTTCGTGGTTGACATTCGGCGCGGACGTAAATGAAGCAATTTTCTTGACATGCAAAACGTGCAACAGTTGCAAAGAGTCGACTGCACCGAATTGGAGCAACAGTTGCTGTTGCTGTTGCTGTTGTTGCAGTTGCAGTTGCAGTTGCTGTTGCTGCAGTTAATTTTCGTACATATTTAATTCAAGTTAAATTATTGTTAAACGAGCTGCCATGCCGAGACGCGAGCCCAGCAAAGCTGGCCGCGCTTTGATGTGCGCTCCATTAGCCGGGGCCGAGTCAAGTCGAGCTGAGCTTCAGTTTCAGCTTCAGCTTCAGCATCAGCGACGTCAAAGGTAAAGTCGGTTGAGCTCTTTTTGCTTTAGCATCCATTTGCAAGGCAAATCAAAGGCTTAATGAATTCATTTCAATTAAATGCAAAAGCAAAACAGAAAAAGAAAAACACAAAAAAGACAAAACAAAATGAAATAGAAATAAAAGCAAATCAAATCGCCAGCAAACAGCATCGCCGTGATAGACGAATGCCAAAGACCCGCCAGACAGTCAGCCTTTAGCATTAATAAATAGTTGAGCTGAGCTTTGTTTCTACACGACTCTCGCTGGGGGAGCAAGCACACACACACATACACACACACATACCTGTGTGAGATGAGAAGAGTTGGCATTTGAATTGAAAAAATAAGCCAGCAGCTTCTGCTAATTGATAGCGATCTAGAACAGATACCAAATCCAAATACGACCTGACAACCGAGAATGAGCCACGGAATCTGCTGTGCAGGCAAATCAGAGCTCTTCTCTGGCTTCTGCTTGACTGCCACCGAATCATGATAGCAATCAATAGAAATTCTATTTTACATTGCACTGCGCTTTTCTCATGCCAGGCGAGTGGGCACAGCTGGCAGCCCCAGATCTATTGGTTTTTATTTGCAAGTTGTCATGAACTAGGTGTAGTACGCTGAGCAACATTGTGATAATGATTAAATGCCAATCAATAATTAAAGCTAATTAGTAAACAATAAAATTATAGTTCGGAATATTATTGTTATTATTTAATATAACATATTTAAAACAATGTTTGTATATATATAAAATATGTTTTTTTTTTTTGGTAAAAATGTATAATGAGCAATTTTAAAATTGTCGCTTACAAAATTCAGTTTTCTTTTTAATAGAAATAAAAGGTAAAAAAATATACTTTTGCATTAAAAAATACAATTATTAAAAATTGGTAAAAAGTGCAATACTATTTTCTTAATTCCATTTATTTAATATTATTATATTAAATGATTCTGTGGATTGTTGACTATTGACATGCTCTGTGGGCTAATTAAAATATACAAAAATATGTAAGAATTAATAGATCTCAATTGTCTCCTTGTATAGTCTTACCCTTTCGGATGCTCATTGTGTAATATTAGCTCTATACTACATTTTTGCATTCTTCAATGTCTATCTCTACCCATATACATACACATATGTGTTTAAACATTTCACTGGTATGCGAGCAAGAGTCCATTGAAATTCCATAATTTTTAGCAGCCAGAGATTGGATTATTTACGTAGCTACTTAAGACCTCCTGGCTGGGTCAATCACCCTACTTTCTTGACAGCCCAAAAAAGCAGGAAGGCAGACAGCCGGATAGGCGATAAGCCTTAAGCTGCTTAATCGATGACCAAAGAGTTGTCAAAAAATAATTCACAAGGCGGCATCAAAGGTAAATACGAAGACAGCTTGGCGTATACGTAATGTTATCAGCTGTGCAAATCTACCCTGTGGGATCGTTGTTGTTGTTGTTGTTGTTTTATGTTATTTACTCTTCTTCCTTCCCTTTGCTTCGTACAATTTTAAATGCAGCCAACGCTAAATCAGCGTCGGGCCCTTTACATAAGAAATATTTTAGCGTTCGATGCAAAAATGGTAGCAACTCGCAGCGTTCGCTTATCAGCGTCTGACGTATGCAGTCCAGAAAAAAATAAAAAACATAGGGGGAGCTATAGTACCAAAAAAAATAAAAATAAAAAGAAGTAAGTTAAGTAAAATAAAGAAAGAACAGGCCGTGAGATAACGCCACAATGAAGACAGCAGAACGCGCCGCAGTTGAAAAATCGCAGTCGATGCCAAAAGCAGCGCGAAAGACGCATCAAGATAAATGAACGTGCGCCCTGCTTTAGCTGTTGTTCTTGTTGTTGTGTTGACTTGGAGATGCTGGAACCAAAATCAAAGTTATAATAATGCATAAGTAATTTGCAGCAGCGGCAATCAAACAAAGCCATCAGCTGAGGAGCTGAAGAAGAGCCACAGAGGAAGCAGCTCGTGCCACGGGCCCTGCCCTACTCTGGCTGTGCCCAGCTCTTGACAACAGTTAATCAAAGCCAAAACGGATTGACTACGTCCACGTAAGCCAAACCATCAGCTACGCCCGGCTCGGCCAGCTATCGCCTCTTTAGGCAGTTATTTATTAACTGAAAATCATATTATCGGCATATCGCTTACGGCTTTGAATTGGCTGCTGATGCTGCTGCTGCTGCTGCTGCGCTTGCTGCTGCTTCTGCTTCTACTTTTTTGGACTCCCTGAACTTTAAGAGTGTGTGTGCAGTAGCGCGTCTTAAGTTGATCATCCCATAACAATGCCCTACACTCAATCCGAAGAAACACTTGGTTATGCTAGACCTTAGATTCGCCATAGATACAAATATTATTATATTTAAATTCTTACAGAACAAAAATAGATATATATTTAAATTATAAATTTAATTTAATTATTCAAAAAAAAAAAAAAAAAAAAAAAAAAAAAAAAAAAACAAGAGATAATTGTGTATAAATTGACAAATTGTGCTTTGGTCCACTTATTATCAGTCTCTCTCAATTATATAACCATTTCAAGCATTTTACAAATTCAATATAAATGATATATGTATATTTATTATTCTCATAGAATATGTTATATGTTGTAATTTGAACTATATCATAATTTAAGTAAGAATATTAAATTTGGAAATATTTAAGATAAAATATGTATTAATAATTATATTAACGCCCCTTCTCATTATTAATAATATTATTTTCCAAATGCGATTTATATATGATTTTTGAATATATTAAATTTTGGTTTTTAATTGAGGACAGCACATTAATTTAATGCTAAAAGTCGTATTCTAAAATTATTTTCACTTTTAATTTGTTATTAATATTTTTTTAATATTTGGTTTTATTTATTTCTTGATATTTTTAATGATATTTGTTTACTATAATATTTATTATAATAATTTATTACATATTTATTATTTTATGACTTTTTATATATAAATTTCACGCTTTGTTTATCAAATGTTAATTTCTTTAAAATTTTGTTGTATTAATAATAATATTATTATTATTATTTATATATTTTTTTTGTTTTTTTTTTTTCGAGTACTGTTTCGTATGTCGAGAGCGTATCAGCTGGACCTAACTAACCGCAACCTTCTCAATTTTCACGTCCTTCCGCTGAGCATTTTATTGACTCTTTTTAAGTTGAGCAGTAAAAACGGCAGCACAATGGCCTGAACGAGGCCCAAACCTTAAGTTGCTGCCATAGGGCTGGATAAACAATGCCGCGGCATGTTAAGACAAATGCGCGGACTCAGCCGAGGCTGAGAGGCCAGGGCCTGTACCATTGTGGACTAGATTTTCAAAAACAAAAAATAACAACAAAACAAAAACTGCAAGGAAAATTGAAATCAGGAAGTGTATTATATAATTTTATAGATACTAAACTCAACTTTGACACAAATCGACTGAGCGCGGTCTGTAAACATGACATTTGCTGTACACGAGCAGCTCGAAGAGTGGAAGAGCTGCTGCATGGCTAACAGCCGACTCGTTTAGGCCACAGTCAACAGGCAGCAACAGCAGCCGCAGCAGCAGCAGCAGGAGCCGGCAGCATCTTTAGACGCTGTGCTGCGCGATGCTTATCGCAAAACGTTCAATTATTTTATTTGGTGCAGATGTGGCCGGCGATAAAAGTGCCTCTGATAGCAAACGGCTTGAGCTCCTTCAAGTGGAGGCCAACAATGCAAGCGGGCCAAGTTAATGCTGTGTGAGCTATCGTAGCACAATACAAATACGGCCAAGAGTGCCAGCATGTGTGTCTGCTCGCCCTACTCGCTCTGGCCTCTGCTTTGTATACGACTATATGAGATTCAATTAAAATCACCAGCAACAGCAGCAACAACAAGAAGAGAACCAAATAATTGACACAAGAAAGCAAAGCCGCAAATTTGCTGTGCCGCAGCATCCCCACAGCAAGAAAAAGAAAACAAGACAACAAAAACTGCAAAAAATTGCAGGAAAAAAAACAGAGGAAAATTAATGTCATGCTATAAATGTTTAGTGTTGATGGCCAGGCTCATAAAGTACCGAAACGAGGCTGTGTCCAACGGAACTTGAGCATTAATTGAAACAAAATTAATGAATTCAAAGAATCAAACATTATAAATAAGATGTGGGAGATATAATTATGCTACTGAATTTATAAAAGGTTTTCAATCGATAAAAAAAATAAAGGGATGAGTCGATTTTTGGAGATAAACTCGATATCCGCGCTATATAAATGGACATACTAAAAAAAAACAACTATCTAGCTCTTGTAGCTTCCGAGATCGACGCGTTCAAACATACGGACAGACGGACGGACAGACAGATAGGGTCAAATCGTCTCCGCTGGTCGCCCTGATCAAGAATATATATACTTTGTGGGGTCTGCCACGACTCCTTCTGCCTGTTACATACATTTCAACAAAGCCATTATACCCTGAAAAAATGAAGAGAGACTTCTCGACTAGGAGATACCGTGAACCATGCAAAGAACATTATGATAATTCAGAATATATTGATATGTGTACATTCCAAAACACAAGTCTCTACCACTTAAAATACTTTCTTTTTAGAAATTGAAAAACTGTAAATTACAAAATCTTGATTATCAAATCTATGTACGCACTGAAAATGAAGGCCTGAAGTCTAAGCGTATTCAAATTGGGCTGAAAAAAAAAAAAAAAAAAAAAAAAAAAAAAAAAAAACAAACAAACAAACTCGAATATTCTTGATAAAAAAAGAAAACGGATGAGCTATCGAAAAAATATGATAAGCTTCTACTGCGTATGGTATACGGGAGTATGCATTCAACATTGACCAACCTCTTGTTCATGCGCGCTGCCGGACACATCGTCTCAGCTCATCGCCCTGATAAAGAATATGTATATATCGGTATACTATCAAATTGGCCACAAAAGGTTTGCCATTCAATCTGTGAAAGAACAATATTAATATATAAATATTTACATGCGCGCCTAATAATATTTGATATATGCCTATAATATACATACACATATTCATCTACATGATACAAATTTAAAGACAGAAGAATTTTTAATTCAGATCAAATAGGGCGTATCATCATTTGCACGAATTTCATGGAATAACTTCGGCCATGCCAATCCTGCCAGTAAATGCATCCAATGTTTTCTAATTGTTTCGACTCTTCCATTTTGCAAGAGAAATTTTGTCCGTTCAGGTTGCTTTCAAAGAGAAAAAAAAAAAATATTTTAATTAAATTTATTAATTATTTATTATATTTACCTAAATGCACAATTCCAATACCACCAGCCACCTTTCAGAATTGTGGCACAATTATCAGATGAGAAATCATTATCTCTATCATATGTTGAAAATGGTTCCCCCTCGTGGTATCTCATAGAATCTCTAGTATTCCCAGTATGTGTACCAAGAGAGATCAATTTGAAATTTGTATCCTCGCTCCCAATTTTAAAGTTATCATATCTGGCATACCGCTGCTCGTTATCCTGATCAATAAGGTGTATGTAGAGCTCATATCTCTTCTCGTTTGTCATTTTATGTAGTTTTTGCAGACCTATCCAAAATTCCCTATTAAAGTCTCCGAAGCCATGTTTGTATTCGTCCCAGTTTCTATAGAAACCGACCTTTCCATCAATGCGTCGTTGTATTACGGTCCACCCTGATCCAGCGATATTTGAATCACACGACACGGTAAACGGACTCAGTCCATTAACTTCTACTGTTGCTCTTCCCGAATAATCTTTACACCGATCACAACTTTTCGGAAGATATTCAAGACTTTTTTTGCATTCGACTAATTTGTTTTGAAGGCTGCTTAGCTCAAAATCCTTGGCAAATAAATACTTTTCGCATTGAGCTATGTTTTCTGACTTTTTTGGTTTTTGACCAATAGTATTTGATTGATTTGATACGGTATCTGTCAAATTCGCTATTCGCTGTTTGTATTCATTGAGAAGTACTGAACTCTCCTTGGCTGTTTTCTCAATAACTAATGCATTTTTTTCACAAGATGCTAATTTATAATCTAATATTGTATTTTTTATTCCTAAATTTTCCAAATCAGTTTTACATATCTCATACTTCTTAGTCAGTTCACCTATTTGTTGTTTATTGATCTTTAAGTGATCTTCGTGGGTTTTCTCTAATTGAAGTATTTTATTTTTGTTATCCGCGACTAACAATTCACATTTTTTATTTTCATTATTTTTTTCATCTAAATTATTTTTGAAATGAGTTAGATCAGTTTGTAAAGTTGCGATCTCTGCCTGTTTCATAGTCAGACTATCTTTTAATTTTGTATTTTCTTCTCTTAGTTCAAGTTCACTTTTTTCATCACTTTTTGGCTGTGGAGCAATGTCTCCGCTAAGAGTTTTACTTTCTAGTTCTGCGATTTTCTTATCTTTAAGTTCGATATCTTTGGTGATTTTTGCAAAATATTCCATCATAGGCTTAACAATGCTATATGTATAAGGCCCACACTTGGCATCCAGTTCGTCGCGCGATTTGCAAACCTGAGGAGAGTCGAGTTATGCCACAATAAATAAATTTTGCATTTTAATAATAACAGCACCTTCAGCTTAATAAACTCACATTCTTATTTTCATCTACGTTTGCCGATTCTATCGTCGTTGACAAAATAGCTATCACAGCCACAAACACTTTTTGATTTATTATCATTTTGCTTGTGCAAGCCACAAATTATAAATATATACACAGCTCTGCAAGCGTATGTAGATTCGCTTTAAGCACTCCGTGCAAATTAAGACTCGTACTCAGTGGCACTCTCTTTAAATGCATTCCTCAAGCTGTGCAGACCTGCTGTGAGTCTGTTATCAACCAATGTTGCCTTCATAATTTGATTATACTTTAAGGGCAAAAGTTTCCGACTGGGAGAAACCTCACAGGAATTATATACTTCCCAGAATTAATAAGCGTACAAATTCAATGCGAAATTTTGTTGATAAGAAGTACTTGCAAGTATTTTAATGTACATATAACACATTATTCTCATCTTCATATCGGTCAAGAACAAGTATTCGTACATTCTAAAATAACAACAAATAAGTACGAATGCTCGAGTGGAACTCTACTCGACTAGATACCCTGAACCCTTCCTACTAATGATATTCGAATTTCGAACCATGTATAAACTCGTACGCTCTGCTAACTGCGCAGCTAACACCGACTACCATTGTGTGCACACTATTGTTTAACGATTATTTGTTGCCGTAAAACAATTTCTCTTGTCGTAAGACCAGCTACATCAGACATTAAGGACGTGATTGAAGCCTCTTGCATAATAATCGTTGAAGCCATGGCAAAATCGTTAAAGGATTCTTAGATACTATTCGCCTTACCCGACTAGGAGATGCCCTGAACCCTCCAAGCTGATATTCTAATCATTCTGCACTTCTTTTATGCACACATACATACACACGCACGTATTAGAACGCGCCTGCTAACTGCGCAGTACGCACCGACTGCGCTTGGGCTGATATTATACGAGTTTATTTGTTGTAATCTCTAGACGTACGATCTTAATGAAATTATCAGAACTTAATCATAATGTTCATATGTATGTACATTCCTACGCATACGGTCGGACGGACAGACCCACTGATAGGGCCAAATCGACTCAGCTCGTCGCCCTGATCAAGAATATTCATACTTTATGGGGTCTGCAATATACCCTGATTTCCCATTATCAATGGGTCCAGCGTATAAAAACTATATTATGCGCTCTCTCGCAACTCGCTTTACTTTTCGCTTTGACTCTCTTCTGGATTCTATTCCATGCACTATGACATACTAAGTGAATACATGCAAATTTGCATGCATGCATGGACAGACAGACGGACAGGGCTAAATCGACTCAGCTCGTCGCCCTGATCAAGAATATATATACCTTGTGGAGTCTGCCACGCCTCCTTCTGCCTGTTACATACATGTCAACAATACCATTATACCCTGATTTCCCATTTTCAATGGGTTCAGGGTACAAAAATACCGTATTTCTTAAATCTTCAGTTAACAATGAAACCCAAATTGTGTTTAATAATATTAAAAATATGCATACACATATTCATTTTTATTATATGTGTATGTAAAAACATTAAAATATTTATACAATTGGAACAAGAACTTTTAGTTCAGATTACTTTGGGCGTATAAACATTTGCACAGATTTCAGGGAATAGCTTCGGCCATGCCAATCCTGCCAGTAAATGCATCCAGTGTGTTCTAGCTGGTTCGAGTTTTCTAATTCGCAAGTGAAATTTTGTCCGTTCAGGTTGCTTTTAAATAGAAAATAAATATATTTCAAATAAATTCTTTAAATATTCTTCATTAATTGTTAATTAATTTACCTAGATGCACAATTCCAATACCACCAGCCACCTCTCAGAAGTTTGGAACAACTCTGATAAGAGTTATCATTATCTTTATCATATGTTGAAAACTGTTTTCCCTCGTGGTATCTCATAGAATCTTTAGCATTTCCAGTATATTTACCAAGTGAGATCAATCTGAAATTTGAATTCTCGCTCCCAATTTTAAAGTTATCATATCTGGCGTACCGCTTCTCATTTTTCTGGTCACGAAGGAGTATGTAGAGCTCATATCTCTTCTCGTTTGTCATCTTATGTAGTTTTTGAAGTCCTATCCAAAATTCCCTATTAAAGTCTCCGAAGCCATGCTTGTATTCCTCCCAATTCCTATGGAAATCGACCTTTCCATCAAAGCGACGTTGTATTATGGTCCACGACGTATCACACGACACGGTAAACGGAATCAACCCTTTAGCCTCTACTGTTGCTTTACCCGAATAATGTGTACACTGATCACAACTTTTCGGAAGATATTCAAGACTTTTTTTGCATTCGACTAATTTGTTTTGAAGGCTGCTTAGCTCAACATCCTTAGCAAATAAATTATTTTCGCATTGAGCTATATTTGCTGACTCTTTGGATATTTGATCAATAATATTTGAATGATTTGATATTTGATTGTTCGATTTGTCTAGGGTATCTGTCAAATTCGCTATTTGCTGTTTGTATTCATTGAGAGCGACTGAATTCTCCTTAGCTGCATTTTTAATAGCTAATAAATTGCTTTCGCAGGATGTTAAGTTTGTCATCAAATTTCCTACTATGTTTTCTAATAATGCGTTTTGTTTTCCCAAGTTTTCTAAGTCTGTTTTACATTTCCTAGCTTTTTCAGTCGGTTCACCTAATTGCTCTTTATTGATCTTTAAGTCTTCGTGGATTTTCAATAATTGAAGTATTTTATTTTTGTTGTTATCCGCAACTAACAATTCACATTTTCTATTTTGATTATTTATTTCATTTAAATTATTTTCGGAATGAGTTAGATTTATTTGTAAAGTTGCGATCTCTGCCTGTTTCATATTCAGACTATATTTTAATTTTTTGTTTTCTTCTCTTAGCTCAAGTTCACTTTGAATGAGCTTTGCTATTTTTTCATAACTTTTTGGTTGTAGAACAAAATCTTTGCTAAGAATTTGATTTTTTATTAGTATATGATAAATAGTATTAGATTGATTTGATATTTGATTGTTCGATTCGTCTAGGGTATCTGTCAAATTCGCTATTCGCTCTTCGTCTTCATTGAGAAGTACTGAACTCTCATTGGCTGTTTTCTCAATAACTAATGCATTGTTTTCACAGGATGCTAATTTATCTTCAGATATTGTATTTTGTTGTCCCGAATTTCGCAAGTCAATTTTACATATCTCAGATTTGTTAGTCACTTCACTTATTTGTTGTTTATTATTCTTAACATTAACATTAATTTTATTTTCGTTATCCGCAAAAACCAATTCACGATTTCTATTTTCATTATTTATTTCATTTAAATTATTTTTGAAATGAGTTAGATCAGTTTGTAAAGTTGCGATCTCTACCTGTTTCATATTCAGACTATCTTTTAATTTTTTATTTTCTTCTTTTAGTTCAAATTCACTTTTTTAATCACTTGTTGGCTGTGGAGCAATGTCTCCGCTAAGAGTTTTACTTTCTAGATCTGCGATTTTCTTATCTTTAAGTTCGATATCTTTGTTGGTTGTTGAAAAAGATTCCATCAGAAGCTTAACAATGCTATATGCATAAGGCCCACAGTTGGTATCCAGTTCGTCGCGCGATTTGCAAAGCTGAGGACAGTCGAGTTATGCCGCAATAAATAAATTTTGCATTTCAATAATAACAGCATCTTCAGCTTAATAAACTCACATTCTTATTTTCATCTACGTTTGCCGATTCTATCGTCGTTGACAAAATAGCTATCACAGCCACAAACACTTTTTGATTTATTATCATTTTGCTACAAGCGTATGTAGATTCGTTTAAAGCTCTCGGTGCGAATTAATACTCGTACTCAGTTTCACCCTCTTTAAATACGATCCTCAAGCTGTGAAGATCTGCTATGAGTGTGTTATCAACCGTCTCCAATACGTTAAAGGCAAAGGTTTCCGACTGGGCGAAACCATGAATGGCAAGGCAGACATAATAACAATTATATATGTACTTCTCAGAATTAATATGCGTACAAGCTCAATTCAAAATATTGTTGATAAGAAAAAGTACTATCAGGTATTTTATTGTTTACTGAATAACACATTCTTCTCATCTCGAACAATTGTGTTTGCTATATTTTAACAAGTAAGGGTGCTCTAGGAGAGACTACTCGACTAAGAGATACCCTGAATACTACTGCATACTACTGATATTCCAAACATTCTTATGCAGTCGCTGTCAACCGCGCAGTTAGCAGAGCATATATGTTTATATGTATGTTATAAACATATATGCTCTGCTAACTGCGCGGTTGACAGCGACTGCGCTTGGGATGTGCTGCAGTGCGGACAATATTGTTCGACTTTTATTTGTTGAATGATTTCTCTGGTAGTAAGAGTTTCAGGATATTTTTCGATATGCCACGCCCCCAAAGAGACGTAATAATTATTTTTTGGTCATTGATAGAGGAAGTTACTAGTAACAAAACTATGAATTTGAAACTCCAGCTCTTAAACTGTAGGAGATCGAAACTTTTGCGGATACCCACCAAAGTCTATTGGTTTTGGGTGGCAAGCCCGAGTTTATATATTTCAGGTTCGTAGCATCCCAACATAGAATATGAAAAATCACCGATTTGACACGCCCCTAGTTTGCGTAGACATACAATTTTGTTTAATCTAATATATTGCCTAATAATCGCTTAAGCCTTGGTAAAGTCGTTTAAGGATCCTTAGATATTCCCAATCTGCTGTACGTTTTTGGTTGTATTTACTTATATTGTATTAGAAACTTATGCAGTTAGTCCAGATCAAGTTGCTGATCTATGCTAAGACATGTATAACTATATTATGCAATAAAGCGATTCAGTATCGCTCTCTCGCAACTCGCTTTACTTTCCCGCTTTGGCTCTCTTCTGGCTTCGCTTGCACTATGACAAGTATTAAGCGAATGCATACAAATTAGCATGCAGAGCTTTCTCGCACATTGTCGCTCAATGTTATCGCATCGCTTCGCTTATCACGGCCATGCTGACGTCACCCTGTCGGAATGTACATATGCTGAGACCCCAATCATCTGACTCATGTAGGCTCTATGGGCTGCAATTTTAGAAGGTTTGAGCGAAAGTGTACTCCTAATCCAACATCTAACATCGACGAGGTGAAGCTATAGAGGTGAAGATATAGATAGATTGAGAATGAATCGACAAAAAGTCTAACGACGACGAGGCCACTCGAAATCCGACTTAATAGTCTTTAATCACTGCCAGCATATTTGGGTGACATTTTATTTCGTGTATAAAAACATAATATATAAATTCGTAGTATATATAAGCATTTCAAAGTAAAACCAGAAACAACTTAATGCCAAAAAACCTTCTTAGTTGTGTTGCACTTCGATTTGCTTTTGGTGTTATTTCAAATACTTAAAGTTTAAGCTGCATGCGCTACAGTGTGTGATAAAAGTTAGTGAACATGTGCAATTGAAACAAGCCGACGACCAACATCCAAATTCAAACGGGCAGCGGAAATTGCGGGCAATGACACTGCTTCTCGCTCGCACGCACACACACACACACTCTCTCTCTCTCTCTCTCTCTCTCTCTCTCTCTCTCTCTCTCTCTCTCTCTCTCTTACTCTTAGTCTCGCACTCTACCAATTTATTTGCTATTGTTGTTTTTGCAATTAAAATTATTCGTAGTTCATTTTTTGCGACAGTGCTCCCAAAGGGTTGGGGATACTGCACAGTTTGGGGGGTGTGGCCTATTGATCGCTGATGGTACAGAAAGTTCGCAACGCCATTTTGTCGGGCAAACGGAAACGGAAAGTGTGCCATTATGCGAGTGAGCGAACGGATGCGGAGTCGACGCAGCTGCTGCTGAAGCCGCATCAACAGCATCAGCTGCAACGGTTGCCTGATTTAGTTATCTGCTGCCGAGACCGCACTTTGCGGCAAGAGCTCGTTGTCGTTGTCGAAAGTTGAAGTCGCCTCGCCACAATAAAACAGTCTAATGCCAAAGACCACAGAAACTTTCAAGCGCCACACTCGAATTCAAATGTTTTTTGGACTATATTATATTATTTTTGTTTTATTTTATTTTATTTTCATTTGGATTTTGATTTTCATTTTCATTTGTACTTTTCACATTTCGTATTCGTGAAAAGTTTCGACGCGTTACGACGCCACGCTGCTGCAAATCAAATCAAAATCGCAATCAAATGCAAATTGCTATTAGATTAGTTTGTTTGTCGACGCTCCAAAAGGTGCACCTCTGTCAGGTGGCATCAACTTCAAATTAGACAGCCAGTCAGATAGACAGACAGACAGACAGACACACTGGCAGACAGACTGACAGGCAGCTGGAGAGTTTTTTTTTTTTTTGTGCTGCCGGGATTTACGCATCTGTTGGGAAAGCTGTGACAGATTTTTACCCCAAAAAGCTGAAACTGAAACTGAATTATGTTTGCGTTCGTCTTGCAGCGCATTTTTCAAAATAAATAAGACTGAAGAGCATTTGGGGATATTAGCGAAATGTGGTTACTCTACTGAAACAACATATTTATTATTTCAATACAAATAAGTATAAATGAAACAGTTTATGCAAATTAAAATCAACGTTTACTTAAAATGTATCTAAGATAAGATAAGATAAGATATTATTGTTTCATATTTTATTTACTGATTTGTCATATAGATCATTTAACATTTTACTGATAGAATGGAGAACAAATTCAATGCATATGAAGTATAAATATTATATTAAAAATGTTATATGTTTTTTATATATAATACAGAATATAAATCAAATATTAAATTATATAGTAATATATAATATGTGTCAATATGACTGTAAATTTCATTGATTCAATTTCATTTCGTTTCTTTTAAAACTCAATTATTCATTCGAATGAATTTTTTTTTTTTTTATTAATTATTCATATTAAGTATTCGCCACTTCTGGTTGAAATGATGTCCATTCCTTGTATTGGACGTAGTTTAAACTGTTATATATTTCAAATGTTAAATAAGTACATTTTCAGGTATCCATCTCGATGCAATATTATTTTATTAAAAAATTATTTTAAAATGATTTAGTTACATTTTATCA